TGCCTCATCCTCCCAAGTACTGAAATTGAAGGTGTGCAGCGCCATGCGCTCTGGGATTTGATGTCACTTATTTTGTTCTTATAAGTGTTTTGTCAGGATGTATGTCTGTGTACCACAAGCTTACCTGGTGTCTGAGGAGGCCAGAAGAGATCCTTGGATCCCGTGGGACTGAAGTTACAGGAGGTTGTGTGTAACCTTGTGTCTACTGGGAACTGAACCCAGGTCCTCTGGAAGGACCTCTTAACCACTGAGCTATCTCTCCAGCTCCTAGATCACTTTTTTTTTTTTTTTCGAGACAGGGTTTCTCTGTGGCTTTGGAGCCTGTCCTGGAACTAGCTCTGTAGACCAGGCAGGTCTCGAACTCACAGATCCACCTGCCTCTGCCTCCCGAGTGCTGGGATTAAAGGCGTGTGCCACCATCGCCCGGCTTAGATCACTTTTTTGAAGTGGGGAGCGGGGTAACTCAGAGGCTCACTCTGTTTCTCACACAGGCCACTTGACTCAAGATCCTCCTGCCTCAGCCTCCCTGGAGTGCTGAGATTAAAGATGTGTACTACCACTGCCCCGCTAGATTTTTTTTAAGGTTTATTTATTATGTATACAGTGTTCTGCCTGCAGGCCAGAAGAGGGCACCAGATCGCATTATAGGTAGTTGCGAACCACCATGTGGTTGCTGGGAATTGAACTCAGGACCTCTGGAAGAGCAGCCAGTGCTCTTAACTGCTGAGTCATCTCTTCAGCCTTGGATTGTAGCGAGCTGCGTGGTGTCACACCTGATGGAGATGTATAATCAATTCCTGAGATGGCTAAGGCCTGACCTATGCTATGATCACGCAATGATCATCAGCTGCTTGCATATGTGTGGGCCTATGGGCAGTGCCCACCTGGCAATCCGGGATTGGCAGCCCATGCCTACTTAAGGGCTGGGAGAGGTTTGCCCGGGGAGACAGGGGAAGAGAGAGTGAAAGTGAATAAAGTCCTGGAATAAACTGCAGTGAGAAGAGCTCTGGTGGTCGCGTCATTCCTTGTGGGTCGAGGGTGGCCACGACAAGTGGTGGCCCGTACGGGGAACCTCCAAACCTCTCTCCGTGGAGCCCAGAACTTGCTGCAGTCAGGGGGTGCACTGGATAATCCTCAAGGTAAGATTGAGGAATCGCAATAAATGCAGGTTTTATGCTCTCACCTGTAGAAAAGGTAGAGCGGGAAAGTATAGCCACGACCAAAGTGGACAGTTTAAAATGAAAATAAAAGGAAGAATAGGATTTTAGAATGGGCGCTTCAACATCACACCTGATTTTTCTGGCTCTTAAGGAGCTGTTACGGAGCGCATTGGAGAGGTTTTTGGCTAAATGTGACACAATTGCTTCTTGGTTTGCAATCTTAATGTGTCATCCTGGGATAAGCCTGGTAGAGATCTGAATTTTGCCATTGAACAAGGTATGCTAAGGAAGGGAGTTATATTCATGTGGTTTTAATTACTGAGACCTCTTGAGTTTGCAGAGGAGTGTAAGCAGCTGCAGCTCCAAGGCCAAGGAGCTCCAGGCGGCTAGGCCAAGCAGCACTGATGGTCTGTGAAGCTGCAAACACCCGGGACCTGCCTCAGGGCATAGAAGCACAGCACGCAATAAGATCTGTTGGCCTACACCTCTGTCCCAGCCCAGGGCAACCGGCCTGGACCCAGGTGTGGGGGGGCGGCCGCTCTGCCCCACCACGCCTCCACCTTACAGCTCGGTGGGGAAGTGGAGTCTCGCCTCTCCCCCTGCTGCCGCGACCCACGTCCGAGCTCGGCTAGAAAATGGCAGTAAATTGCAGTAAAAACCCGTAAGAATGCAATGTCCCCTCTCAGCAGGAAGTAGCCAGACAGATTGACAATGCCCAAATTCCCTAAAACTTGGTTTAAGCGGGGCCCTTTCAGAGCAGAAGCAGGATCAGCTGAGCTGCTAGGGAAGCCAAAGAGGTGCACGAGGGAGAAGGTGTCTTCCATGCACTCAGCTGACAAGAATGAATGTGCCACGGGGGTATGGCAGCTGGGGTATGTTATTTAGGGGACTGCTGAAGGAACAGTGGTTTCTGACTGCTCCTGGGGTCATGGCAAAGCCACTCCTAATGACAGGAGCAGGCAGAGGAAAGCCAGGGAGGGGAAAGCAAGATTGCCTCCCCTTCCTCTCCTCTGTGCTGGCCCCTCTGCTACCAGTTCTGACTGCCCTTGCTGCTGCCACAAGCACAGCTGCAGCTGTGGCAATTGGCTCAGCTTGGCTGTGAATGGAAGTATCTGGGGCTGTGTGTGTGACCAGCATTCAATATGAAAAATTTACTCATGCAGCTAATCTGTCTAAAGAATTGTCTAGATATCTTTTAGGTAATTGGTCTGGTGAATTCGAACAACAACTGGAAAAGCTGCGAGTGGCGATTGTGACTGCAGATTCCACACGCATGGATACCAGCCTGGCAGAAGGATTAACCTCCTGGATCATCATAGCCATGGATCATCTGAGGGAACGGGCGGGAATAAGAGCCCTGGCAAGCTTAATGGTGCTTGCCTCCCTGGTATGCCTATGGTGCATTTGTCACATAAGGGTTTCACAGCATCATAATGCAGTTATGATCATTCAGGCCTTCACGGCCATTGAAACAGGACAGACTCCCCAAGTTTGACTAGAGATGTAAGCGAGCACAGGATGCGAGGCTTGCACACTGCACTTGAGGTAAGCATACATCAACCTCAAGAAGAGCACGTCTGATTGCATGTGGGTTGGTGTCTAGCTCCCACCTCTGTAAAAAAGGCACCGGACAGGTCTAGTGTTCTCTGAGTGGATGACACCTGGACAAACACTAGTACATGTTCCATTTTTAACAGAGATCAGACCTTTACTCTTACCTGTGGCTTTACAAAACAAAAGGGGGAACTGTAGTGAGCTGCGTGGTGTCATACCTGATGGAGATGTATAACCAACTCCTGAGATGGCTAAGGCCTGACCTATGCTATGATCACGCAATGATCATCAGCTGCTTGCATATGTGTGGGCCTATGGGCAGTGCCCACCTGGCAATCCGGGATTGGCAGCCCATGCCTACTTAAGGGCTGGGAGAGGTTTGCCTGGGGAGAGAGGGGAAGAGATAGAGAAAGTGAATAAAGTCCTGGAATAAACTGCAGTGAGAAGAGCTTCAGTGGTCGCGTCATTCCTTATGGGTCAAGGGTGGCCGCGACACTGGATTTCTGTTTTTGAGACAGTCTCGAGTATCAGAGTTGGCCTTGAACTCACAACACATGCCATCCTGCCTGGCCTTGGTTGCGGTGTTTGAAATGAAGGATTCTGAGTTTACCCTATGCAAGACTTTATCATCCTGCCATGTGGTGTAGCAGAGCTGCTTCAAGCCTGAGCCCTTGAGGTTGAATTTGGTTCACAATCCTCCCTCTGCATCAGCAGCAGTATTGTGTGGCTTGAAAGGGAGACACCGTATGTTTTCTCTGACACCAAGCATGTTCCAATGACGACTCTTGGCTGGGACTCAGCTCAGAGTTAATGATTGCCTAGCATGTGTGAGACCCTGGTGTGAGCCCCAGAATCATGTATATGCAATGCTCACAGAGCCCAGAAGACAGCGCTGGGTCCCTCGGAGCTGGAATTACAGTGGTTGTGATCTGCTATATGTGGGTGCTGGGAACTGACCCCCACGTCCTCTGTTAGAGCAGCAAGTGCTCTTAACCACTGAGATGTCTCTGGCCCATCAAACTCCTCCTCCCTTATATCTGATTCTAGAACTGCAGATAAAAGCCAATTAAACCCTTTAAATGTGTCTTTTGACAGGTTTATTACCTATGCACATCTGATTCAATCACTGGCTATGGCTGGAGATGTAGCTCAGTGGGATAGCGTGGGCAAAGCCATGAGTTCAAGTCCTTAGCACTGCCAAAAAAATAAAACACAAAATCAAGCCAGGACTGATGGCTCAGGTTTAAAATCCTAATACTCAGGAGGCAGAAACAGAAGGATTGCCATGAGTTCGAAGCCAACCTTGGCTACAGTGTGACACTGACCTCTCCTGGCAACTTCCAAGAAGAAAAATATCATTGGCCTTGTGATTGAGCTGAAAATCCAGTCCCACCCCATTCCCTGAGGACAGAAGAGGGGAGGGGGTGACCTCGAAGCTCTTATGCTGACCCTAGGTCCAAAGGAGCACTTATGATTAGCCAAAACCACCCCTATGTATCACAAAACTTCATGTTTTAGGAATTCTGTTTCAGGAGAAAACATTTTTTCGTCTTAAACCTTATGTCCCCATCATTTCTCTAGGTTCAAGAAAAGCTGTGAGTGAAACTCCTGAGGTTGCTCTACCAATGACCAGGCTCCTAGCATGGCCTTCTGGGGGCCTTTAAGACTACAGCAGCTTTAGTGAGACATCCAACTGGGGATCAAATCCCACTTCTATGCCAGGTGTGGAATGTGCCATAATCTCAGTATTCTGGAAGCAGAGGCAGGAGGTTGACAAGCTTGAAGCAGCTTGGTCTACAAATGGAGTTTCAGGCCTATCTAAAACCCCTGACCAAAATCAAACCTCATGTCCACTTTTGGCCAAGCGCTCACTGGTCATGATGGCTCCCCCACTCTGCCTCCTCAGCAGGCTGCTGGAGTTGCAGGGAAGCCTAAACCAGTGGGGCTGCTCTCAGATGCCCCTCCTACCTCTGTGCACACACCAGGCAGTTCTTGAATCCCTGTGAGGATGTCTCCAAGGCCCCATCCCCATCCATACACACAAACACCTTAAGCCAGTCTTCAGCGTGCACCCTCCAAGGGTGAGGAGCATAGCAGAGAGCCTGGGTCTGGGAAGTCTGTGTTGCCATGTACAAGCCCTGCGACTTCAGATGAGTTCCTGGTTCCCAGTGTTCACACAGACACACTCTCCTGTCTCTCTCTTCATAGGGAAGGTGGGGGTCTGAGGTTCTCTGGGGTCCCTTCCAAACGGTTTAGCAGGCAGTCCAGAGGAAGAGAGAGGCTGCCTTGAGGGCTCTAATAACTTAACAACTTTATTAGGAACAAAAACAATCAAGCCCGAAGCAATATCTTGAGGTCACATGAGAACTGGGCGGGGCTAAGTTAAGGCTGGGGCTCCAACCTGATACTCCATCCTTTACTGTCCCAGGCAGGGAGGCCAGAAACAACTACGACCCTAAAATAACCTACAGGGGAGTAGAACATGACCCAATCCAAGACAGCAGTCCAGATACTGTGAGAAAAGATTGCCGAAACCCCCAAGTCAATGGCCTCTTTCCTGGGAGTATGTCCAGTCACAGAGCGGGGCCCTCCAGGGCATCCCTGAGACAGGGCCCAGCTGGGGAACCTCAGGGCTGGAGCTCCTTTTTCCACTTCTGTATCCTCTCGTCCATTGCCTGGAGTGTGGCCTCATCCTGCAAGACACACACTGAGCCTTCTCTCGCCCTACCCGGTGGCTAGCCAGGCCCATCGAGGGTCTCCCAGCCTTTTCTTACCTTCACAAAACAGAAGCGGATGTAGTGGTCAAAGTCCTTCTGGTGAGGTTGACTGAAGAAGATGGAGACAGGGATTGCCACCAGGCCCTGGGGAGGAGGAAGCCATGTCTGCATATAGTCTTGAGACCCAAGACCTCAGCTTGGGGGGGAACAAGAAGTAAGGGCTCAGTGTGTCCCCTCCACCTGATGTAATGGCCAGGAGAGAGTCCCCAGGGCATTAAACTAGGTTCCTCCCAGGGTGCGGGGTGCGGGGTGCGGGGAGAAAGAATAGAGGAGAGACTGTGCAGCGTGCCCAGGCAGAGCTGGGGAAGAGCTAAGTTTGAGCCGCAGTGGTCTGAGCAAGGCGATAAGAGCAAATGGGCTGGATTCTCAGGTATAGGAGAGACAGCCAGGCTAAGAGAAGGGCAAGAGCTCCTGGAACCAGCATGGCTGCCTTGTGCAGGTGAAACTGTGCACTGAGCCCCGGAGCAGGAGTCACGCAAAGGTCGAACACCTGCCGGCCCCACAAGAGCCCCCGCCTACCTTGTTTTTGATCATCCACTTGGCAAAGCGTCTGTCGTAGGGCTCATCCTCAGCACCAGGCAGGTCGGGCATCTTGCTCTCTGGGGCAACAGAAGAAGTCCTGCTGAGTCCCGGCCAACTTTGGTGTCTCCCCAGATCCTGGGTGACATGGCCAGTGCCACTCACTGAAGTCCGAGATGTCTGCAATGAGGAAGTAGCTGCCCTGGGGGATCAAGGGCTTGAGGCCCACTGACTGCAGGCTGCGGATCATGTGGTCTCTGTTTGGCTTCATGGTCTGCGGGAGCTGCAAGAAGTAACTGCTGGGTTGTCCGAAGTGTTGCTGCTCCCGTTCAAAGCACTGGGCTACTGCGGCCTGGACAGGGCAGATGAGAGGCCAGGTCAGCTGCCATCGGTCCCTGTCGCCTTCCCCACCACAGGTTTTCATACCCTTCTCACCTGGGCCTGGGTGGGACAGTGGAAGATAGAGTTCTGGTGCACAGTCCGCAGGTGCTTCAGGATCTGATCTGGACCCATGACCCAGCCCACCTGGACGGGACACAGTCAGTGAGGGCCTCGTCAGAGGAGCCTTTCTTAATCCTCCCGCTGCTGCCCTCTGCCTAGGGACCACACTTACCTTCCAGCCGGTGGCACTGAAGCTTTTGCCTGCGCTGCCGATGGTCAGGGTCCGTTCCCACATGCCAGGGAGGCTGGCTGCCCGAGGCCAAGAAGAGCAAATGCTGAAATGGGGAAGGTATGGGGGGCCCCAGGGACAAGCACAGCATTTTAACTGAGGACTGGTACCCTCTAAGCTGCTGATGGAACCATTCCATCGCCTGCTCCTGAGAGCCTCAGGAAGCAGATGCTACTGCATTCCCCAGACCTCAGGAGGGGACGTCCTTGCCCATGGTCACAGCAGTGCACAGGTGCACAGCCCTGGGTCCTCATCACCAGGCCTAGGCTGCTCCCATTGGGCTCAAGCCCTGCTCAGGTGTCCAGGGGAAGCTGTGGCAGGCCCCGCTCACCGATGCTGACATGCTGGTGCCCATCATAGACCAGCCACTGGTAGACCTCGTCAGAGATACACAGGACATTGTGCTGCTGGCACAGGTCAGCCACCAGCTCCAGCTCCTTCTTAGAGAACACCTGTGGGAGCGAAGGTCACAGGTGTGCAACTGGGACCATCCCCAAGTGCAGAGCCTGCCTAGAGGTAGAGTGCAAGACCAGACCAGGTCCTGGGGCTTCTCTGGATCATCCCTTTGACCAGCTCGGCAATACTGGCCCTGTGGGATCGGTTATCTCTGGATCCCCCTGGACAGGGAGGTAAAGACACTGTTCCAAAGCCACCAGGAAGTGGTGAGGTGCTCAGCCCACGCACCTAGGCCTTCACACCTCTGGGAGAGTTGGGTCCTCAGAGTTCAAGGCATACAGCCCTCCCACTTCACACAAGGAGGGAAACTCAGCTTGAGGAGGTCTCTGGATGGACCCCTGGTACCTTTCCCAGAGGGTTGTTGGGTGTGTTGAGGACCAGGGCCTTGGTACGAGGTGTGAACTTGCTGGCCAGTTCTGTGGGATCCAGTTGCCAGTCATTGCTGGATTCCAATTGTCCCTTAGCAGCAGGGCTCTGCAAGAGGAAGGGGAGAGGCAGCAGGAGCTGCTTTCCTGACAGCAGCGCCTGTCCCGATATATCTGCCTCCATCTCTCTCCTTTCTGCTCTGGGCTCTACCTCCACACCCTCTCATCTCTGAAGACTCCCTTCCCTTCTCCCATGTCTCAGGATCTAGCCCATCTCCTATCTTCATCCATAACCACCCAGCATTGCTTACCAGCCTTGACCAATCCATAACCACCAAGAATCCCTTACCGACTTCAGGGACACAAACACAGGCCGACCTCCAGCCATGAGAGTCATGGGTTCATAACAATCAAAGGCAGGTTCGATGATGATGACCTGGTTCAACAGTCAGATTAGCTGGGGTCAGCACTGTCCTGGGCTAGCGTCAGCCCTCCCCATTAGGTTTCACCTCTCACCTCATCTCCTTCGTCCACCAAGGCCTGGAAGGCTGTGAACAAGGCCCCATAGGCACCCACTGTTACCAGCACGTTCTTGAGTGGGTCCAGCTCCTGTCCCAGCAGCTTGCCAAAGAAACTTGCCAGGATCTTTGTCAGCGGTGGGTAACCCTGCCAGGACAGCACCCAGGATCAGCCAAGACTCCCAGCTCAGCTGCACCCAGGCCATCTAGAACCTTCTAGCAAAATCCGCCTTCTTGGGCTGAATGTCTCATCCCCTCCAACAGCCTCAGCTAAGGAGTCCTGCCCAGAGCTGGGATGTAGGGACAAGAGAACAACAGGGCAGCAGGAACCTCACACTTCCCTGTGTGACTATAAGGTACATTTGTGCCTACCTGACCCCCCTCTAGCAGCCCTGGAGCCACAGATTATTTATTTGGGTTCATTACAAAAGAGAATCCCCAAGAAACGAGCTGTCTCTTGCCCAAAGTATTAGAAAATGGTATGCAGGAATAGCCTTTTTCTTTTCCTTAAAAAAATTGCCTGGCAGTGGTGGTGCACACCTTTAATCCCAAGGCTTGGGGCGCAGAGGCAGTCTAATCTCTGTGAGTTCAAGGTCAGCCTGTCAGGAGCCAATTTCCTCCTAAAATCATTACAGGAACCATAACCCTGGGGAGTCTGCAGAGAACCCCACACCCATAATTGTGTTAGGAATCGTTCTATTGACAGAGCCTACCCCACACCCAAATTGGCTGTTTATGGAGAGCTATCTGTTAGCGGAACCCATCCCACATTCCAAACTATCTAAAGATCTAGGTGTGTCAACTCGTGACTTCTTGGCCTACAGTGACTTGACCGAAGATAACCTCCTGCCTACGTGACCAACTCGGACCAAGTGACCAACGTGAAGCACGCAGCAAGAGCCCAGGCCCCTGTGCCCACCCCCCAACTCTTTACCCTATAAAAGTTGTACCCGTCTCTAATAAACTGAGGCTTTGACAAGAACCCTCGCTTAGCCTCCTTCCTCTTTCCTAGCTCATATCTTCCAGGTAGTGCCTCTCCATGACCCTGGAATAACTGAACTGCCGGGTGGGTTACTAACCCTAGACTGAGTAGCCCACCCAAAGGCAATCAACATCAGCCTGGTTTACAAAGTGAGTTCCAGTATAGTCAAGGCAGTAAATGGGAGAAACCCTGTCTCAAACAAAACAAAACAAAACAAAATTTGCCAGGTGGTAGTGGGGCAGCAGCGGTGCACGACTTTAATCCCAGCACTTGGAAGGCAGAAGCAGGCGGATCTCTGTGATTTTGAGGCCAGCCTGGTCTACACAGTGAGTTACAGAGCAACCAGGGCTACACAGAGAGACCCTGCCTCAAGCAAAAATTTTTGTGTGGGGGCTGGAGAGATGGCTCAGTGGTTAGGAGCATTGCCTGCTCTTCCAAAGGTCCTGAGTTCAATTTCCGGCAACCACATGGTGGCTCACAACCATCTGTAATGAGGTATGGTGCCCTCTTCTGGCCTGCAGACATACACACAGACAGAATATTGTATGCATAATAAAAATAAATAAATATTTAAAAATAAATAAATAAATAAATAAAAACAAAATATTAAAAAAAATTTTTTTGTGTGTGTATGTGTGTGTGCTAGAGCGTGCGCGCGCGCCCACAGGTACCACAGGAGGTCAGAGGACAACATTTAGTTGGCTCTCTCCTTCTACCATGTGGGATCCAGGGACCATGTTATCAGGCTTGGTGGCAAGTATCTTTACCATGGAGACATTTTACAGGTCCCTACTTTGTTGTGGAATATTCCTGAACACTATGTGAAGATGTGTCTCATGACTGGCTTAATAAAGAGCTGAACGGCCATTAACTAGGTAGAAAGAGGTGGGACTTCTAGGGACAGAGACATCTGGGAGAGAGAAAGGAGGAGTCGCTAGCCAAATGTGGGGGAAGCAGGATGGGCAAAACGGAGATGAGGTAACAAGTGTATGGAAAAATTAGATTTAAAAATATGGGTTAATGGCCGGGCGGTGGTGGCGCACGCCTTTAATCCCAGCACTCGGGAGGCAGAGGCAGGTGGATCTCTGTGAGTTCGAGACCAGCCTGGTCTACAGAGCTAGTTCCAGGACAGGCTCCAAAGCCACAGAGAAACCCTGTCTCCAAAAACCAAAACCAAAACAAAACAAAACAAAAATATGGGTTAATTTAAGTAATAAGAACTAGTTAGGCACAAGCCTAAGCTAAGGCTGAGCTTTTATAATTAATAATAAGTCTTCATGTTGTTATTTGTGAGCTGGCAGCCCACCCCCCAAAGATCTGTTTATATATGGCACCCAATGTCCAGCCACATATGTCCACATGAGGCCCGAGAGAACTTTAAAAAGAAGTTTGGGACATGGAGTCAAATGCAGCTTCCTGGTGATCAGGACTCTCGATGGCGTACAGAGACGTGACTGCAGGATGGAGCCAGCTGCCGGTGCCATGCACTAAGCTGAGCCACATGGTGGCTGATTTAGCACTTTAAGATTTGCCTTATAGGCCGGGTGGTGGCGCACACCTTTAATCCCAGCACTCCAGAGGCAGAGGCAGAGGGATCTCTGTGAGTTTAAGGCCAGCCTGGTCTACAAGAGCTAGTTCCAGGACAGGCACCAAAGCTACAGAGAAACCCTGTCTTGAAAAAAACAAAAAACGAACAAGGATTTGCCTCATGCAGTCAGAGGATGCTGCAGATGCACAGTAAAGACAGATCCAGATGGAAAAACCTCCACACAGGTTACAGTGTGTTTAAAAATGTGCATAGGCTCAAAAAAGAAGAGAAAATGGATAGAGACAGTCATAGAAAAAATAGTTCATAAATAAATATTTAAAGATGAAGTCTTTAAATAGAGAATAAAATAATATAAAAAGGATAAGCCATGTAAAAATGAGAAATACACAGAGTCTGGATCTCTCTCTCTTTTTTTTTTTTTTTTTGCTTTTTCGAGACAGGGTTTCTCTGTGGCTTTGGAGCCTACCCTGGAACTAGCTCTGTAGACCAGGCTGGTCTCGAACTCACAGAGATCCGCCTGCCTCTGCCTCCCGAGTTCTGGGATTAAAGGCGTGCGCCACCATCGCCCGGCTTTGGATCTCTTATATTTAGTCTTGTTGACTAAATTTTTTGATTACTGATGAATGAACAATAGCTGGTGAAAAACATTGGATTATGGAAACTGCTAAATTAAACTAACCTATATATTTTAAAAATATCTTAACTTGGGGCTGGAGTGATGGCTCAGTGGTTAAGAGCATTGCTTGCTCTTCCAAAGGTCCTGAGTTCAATTCCCAGCAACCACATGGTGGCTCACAACCATCTGTAAAGAGGTCTGGCACCCTCTTCTGGCCTTCAGGCTTACACACAGACAAAATATTGTATACATAATAAATAAATAAATATTTAAAAAAATATCTTAACTTGGGGGCTGGAGAGATGGCTCAGCAGTTAAGAGCATTGCCTGCTTTTCCAAAGGTCCTGAGTTCAAGTCCCAGCAACCACATACATGGTGGCTCACAACCATCTGTAATGGGGTCTGGTGCCCTCTTCTGGCCTGCAGGCAGACACACAAACAGAATATTGTATACATAATAAATAAATATTTTTAAAAAATGTCTTAACTTCAAAATAAAAGTCAAATAATATGTTGCATTGGAGAAGAGGTTGTAATTTTGTTTCCACAGAAAATGAAAGGTTGTGGATTCATTCAAGGTTGATAAGAGATCAGCTTTGATAGGGGAGACCCCCTGAAAATCCTGGACCATCTCAGTCAGTAGCCTTGAATCTGCTCTGGAACTCTGAGGAATCTGCAACAGAGGCAGGTGGATCTTTGTGAGTTTGAAGCCAACCTGGTCTACAAGAGCTAGTTCCAGGACAGCCAAGGCTACACAGAGAAACCCTGTCTCAAAAAAACAAAAACAAAAACAAAAAAACAAACAAAAAAAAAACCAGAAACAAAAACAAACAAAAAGCTGAAATTAGAAGGGAAAAAAGGGGGAGTATGATATAGAAATAATAAGATCACAGGGTAGTTTATTGAATCTACTTTCAAACTCAAAATCAACTACTAGTCTCAAATACTTTACATTGGTATAGATTTTTGTATATTGACACAAATTTAAGATTATTTGGTTATATTGTATATATGTTTCTATTTGTGCTTAAGGTATTATACCTATCCAGATCATTTAAAAATTTAATATAAAAATTTTATTCTCAAAAACTATTTAGGATAATAAAAAGATATAGGTTGAATGTTAGTCATCTATAACCATCAAGCTAATAGCCATGTTAGGTATGTTTTCAAGGTCATACAGAGATATATTTTAGATAAGTGATCTTCAAACATTTCAAAGACCTGCAGAATATAGCATTTAAAATGTTATAATAATATAAGGCTTTTTGTGACAGTAAGACATGTCTGCTCCTGGTAGCACTAATCTACTTCAAAAAGTGGATAATGAGCACCCTCCATATGAAGTTTGCTTTCTTTGTGGCAAAAGCTCGTCATTTGGGTAAGAAACTGTCCTTGCCTCAACTTCTGACAGTATGCAGTCCAACCTGGACAAATGGGACACAAAAGAAGGCGACTGCTGAACTTTGCCAAGACAGGCAGGACAGTCCTTCACAATTCCTGCTTTACAGAAAGGCCTGTAGGCCAAAGATGAACATGGAAACATTGTAGAGGAACTTTTGGTGATTATCCGAGCAATCAGATGTTGCTGTCACTTCTTAGATTGGGAAGGTGTCTGCTCTGCACTTCCTGTGATCTAGGTAGTATTATATCCTTCTGGGGTCTTTGATGGAGTTGAAGACTGGACAGTTATAGTTTTCTTTAGTTGTGATAGAGGGTAAATTAGGTACAAAACTTTGGATTCACCAAGATAGGATTCATAGTGGAATATTTTCTCTCAATTTGCCAAATACAAATGAAGTGGATGTTATAAATTCTTACCTGATTATTATTCTTATTGTTTATAGTTTTCATATGCTATACTTAAAACTTTTCTTTTTATTTAGATGGAAATGGGGAAATGTTGTAGAATGTTCCTTTATACTGTGTGAGGCTGTGTCACTGTGACTGGTTTAATAAAGAGCTGAATGGCCAACAGCTAGGCAGGAGTTGCCAGTCAGATGTGAAGGAAGTAGGGTAGGCAAAAGGGACGCAAGGTAATGAGCACATGGAAGAACGTAGATGAAAAAATATAGGTTAAGGGCTGGAGAGACGGCTCAGCAGTTGAGAGCACTGACTGCTCTTCCAGAGGTCCTGAGTTCAATTCCCAGCAACCACATGGTGGCTCACAGTAATGAGATCTGGAGCCCTCTTCTGGCCTGCAGGCATGCATACAGACAAAATATTGTATACATAAATACATTTTTTAAAAAATATAGGCTAATTTAAGTTATAAGAACTAGTTAGGAACAAGCCTAAGCTAAGGCCAAGCTTCTATAATTAATGATAAATCTCCATGTTGTTATTTGGGAGCTGGTAAAAGTCTGTCTACACTACTTCTCCCTCTGAGCTCTGATACAGGCCAACTGACTTGGTGCCTACGGTGCACAGTTAGGAATAATCATCCTAATTAGACTTGGAGGTGGAAGCATGGGGCAGGCAGGCAGTTAGAACAGTTAGGTGTGCACATGGTGTGAGCAGTCAGGTGTGCACACGGTGTGAGCTGTCAGGTGTGCACCCGGTGTGAGCAGTCAGGTGTGCACACGGTGTGAGCAGGCAGGTGGGCACACGGTGTGAGCAGTCAGGTGGGCACACAGTGTGAGCAGTCAGGTGTGCACACAGTGTGAGCAGGCAGGTGGGCACACGGTGTGAGCAGTCAGGTGGGCACACGGTGTGAGCAGTCAGGTGGGCACACGGTGTGAGCAGGCAGGTGGGCACACGGTGTGAGCAGTCAGGTGGGCACACGGTGTGAGCAGTCAGGTGGGCACAGTGTCAACAGTCAGGTGTGCACCCGGTGTGAGCAGGCAGGTGGGCACACGGTGTGAGCAGTGAGGTGGGCACATGGTGTGAGCAGTCAGGTGGGCACAGTGAGAGCAGTCAGGTAGGCACAAGGTGTGAGCAGTCAGGTGTGCACACGGTGTGAGCAGTCAGGTGAGCACACGGTATGAGCAGTCAGGTGAGCACACGGTATGAGCAGTCAGGTGGGCACACAGTATGAACAGTCAGGTGTGCACACGGTGTGAGCAGGCAGGTGGGTACACGGTGTGAGCAGGCAGGCAGGCAGTTAGAATAGTCAGGTGTGCACACGGTGTCAGCAGTCAGGTAGGCACACTGTGTCGGCAGGCAGGAACCATTGAGAGAGGGTGAAGACATACACAAAACATTCAAGGCAAAGCCAAGTGGCTAACAGAGAGACTAAAACTTGAGTCAGTAACTTATGTGCCTCCCAATGTAAGAATGAACAGGCAGGTAAAGCTGAGCGTGGTGCTGCATATGGAAAGAGCACCGTGTCTGTAAAGAATTAACCAGAACAAAACAGCCTAGAGACACTGAAGTGACATCATGGGAGCACAGCGGTAACACCCACAGATACACGGGGCTCATGGGTCACAAAACAGCCTGTTCCCGCCTCTGCTGGTGATCAGACCCAGGGCCTGTGCATCACACACAAATGCTCAGCCACCAGTGGAAGCCATCCTCATCTTCATTGTTAGTGGCTTTCTTTTGGTTTATGCAAAGAACCTTCTGGATTTCTTTGAGCGCCTCTTGGTAGGATGCCAATGAGCAACCCTAACTTCCTGGCAGTTTACCAAGACTTGTTAACCACGTTTAACTGTATACAGCCTTCATTAATGCTTTTAGACAGAGTCTCACTAGGTGGAGCTGGCTGGCCTGGAATTCCTTATGTAGACCAGAGTGGCCTCAAACTCACAGACTCTGCCTCTGCTTCTTGGATGCTGGGATCAAAGGCATGCTCCACCACGTCTGACTTTCAAGTCATTGATTTTACCTGAAAGTTTATCTTAAGGGACTGGAGAAATGGCTCAGTGGTTAAGAGGTCCTTGCTCTTTCAGAGGACCTGGGTTCAATTCCCAGCACCCACACAAGGCAGATCACAACCACTTGTACCTCCAGCTCCTGGGCAATCTGCCACCTCTGGACTTTCGGGGTACCGGCACCCACGTGCACATACCCATATACAGATAAACACACAATTAAAAGTAACAAAAATAGATAAAAAGAATATATCTTGGAGAAATACACACTTTTAAAGATAAAACGGTAACATTTATAAAAGATATGGAAAGCAGTCCACTAATGTGAACTACTAATGTGGAACATCTGGGCAATGGAATAGAACTAAATAGCCATTAAAAGGTGTGAGGGGGGCTGGAGCGATGGCTCAGAGGCTAAGAGCACTGGCTGCTCTTCCAGTGTTCCTGAGTTCAATTCCCAGCACCCACATGGTAACTCACAACTATCTGTAATGAGATCTGGCGCCCTCTTCTGGCTTGCAGGCATACATACAGGCAGAACACTGTATACATAATAAATAAATAAACCTTTAAAAAATAAGTTAAAAGAGCTAATGGGACAAGCCTAAGCTAAGACCAAGCATTCAACAATAATTATTTATTATTCAATAATAAGCCTCTGTCTTTTATTTGGGAGCTGGTTTGTGGCCCAAAGAAAAATCCAAATACACCAGCCTGGTCTACAGAGTGAGTTCCACCCAGAACAGCCCCACAGAGAAACCCTGTCTCGAAACCCCAGTCCCCGCCAAAGGCATTCTTCCACTCCAGTGTTGGCAACTATATATATTGTGTGGTCCTTACAGAACAGATGGGATTTAGTCTAATGCAACCAGGAGCCCGTCTTTCAGGAGTTGGCTGAAGCATCGCCTCCTTCTAGAAGCTTTCCCTCCCTGGACCAGATGCTGTGGTCATAAAGGGTTTCCCGATCTGCCTTCCACACTGGGATCTGAGGTACAGTACATAGGGGACTCTCAGTAACTGAAGGATGCTGAAGCCAACCCACTGGGTTGTGCCCCATGAGCCTTCACACCTATGTGGTGTTAGTGCCTGTTCTCCAAGGCCTTCGGGAGATGTGGGAGACTCACAAATGCCATGGTGTACTGGTTGAGCATGAAGTCCCCACTGGTGGCCTGTTGGAAAGCTTGCACAGCAAAGTCCGGAGGTGAGAAGTCGGGGAAGCCCTGGCCCAAGTTCACGACATCATATTCTTTGGCCAGTCTGATAAACTCCACCCTGGCAACAAACAGAGAGTCAGCCCCAGGTCACCTCCCAGGAATACTTCTGTCTGTTTGCAGGGCAGGGTGAACATGCATGGGATGACTCTAGAAAGACCGACAACACACCCTACCCCCACCTGTGCGAGTCCCATATTTTAAGACGGTCAGGCCCTGTACCAATGATATGACTCAGCCCAGGAGACTTCAAACATTGACCATGACCCACGGTAAGAAACATTTATATCTAAAACCATGTGAATGACAAGTAGGAGACTCTAGGGTGTCACATGCTCCAGCCTGTCCTATCTGACCCTAACTCTCACTCTGCCATTCCTTCCCCTTGGAGAGCAAGCCAGGCAAAGCTCCACCCCAAGCCACACCCCAGCCGCCCTTACACTGTAGAGGCACCTGTTGGATGGGACGCGGTGACATGTGACTCAGAAGCCCCAGAGGGATTTCCTAGCCTGTGGTGTACCTGTCCCCAGCACAGTGTGAAACACTTGGCTCACATCACCTCCTGGTGGCCTGTATAACTCACTGTGCTCTGGGCCACTCCGAGGACGACACAGAACTGAGTGTCAGCCAGTGCCAGGCTCCTCCTTTGCATCTTGGTAATGGCCTTCATAATAAGCTGGTGAGGTCAGTAGAGTACATTGGGTCCTGTGCACTGCTCTCTCTCTCTCTCTCTCTCTCTCTCTCTCTCTCTTTCTCTCTGTGTGTGTGTGTGTGTGTGTGTGTGTGTGTGTGTGTGCTTCTGCACTGTAAGGGCCGTTCTTGGTTGTCAACTTGGCTATGTCTGGAATTAACTAAAACCCAAGTGGCTGGGCACCCCTGTGAGGGATTTTTCCTTAATTAGACCATTTGAAATAGGAAGACCCACTTTTAATCTGGGTCTTTGGAGGTGGGAAGAGCCACCCTTAATCTGAGGCACACCCACCGCATAGGCAGCCTATAGAAAGGACATAGAAGCAAGCTTTTGCTCTTTGCCTGTTTGCTCTCGCTCTCATTGGCAAATCCATTCCCTCACTACATTACCGTCTACTTCTTTGGGATTCTGGTGTATACTGAAGACATTCAGCCTCATGGACTAAAAAACTACTGGATTCTTGGACTGGACCAGAGCCTATAAGCCATTCTAATAAAGTGTGTGTGTGTGTGTGTGTGTGTGTGTGTGTGCATGTGTGTGAGTGTATGTGTTCATTCTACAGTTCCGTTCCTCTAGAGAGCTCTCTTATCCACCTCTGTAATTTTTCAAGTATACAGCTCTGTCCATGCACCTGGCTTAATGTGCACAGGGAGAAGAGAAAAAGCTCCTTTGAATAACTTCCCACTGCATTTACTGTAACAGTGATAACAACACACAAACACACACAATCCTTCCATATCTAAGTGTATTAGAACACTAGCATGGGGCCCTGGGTCCCACCCGTAGCACCGAGGCGGAAATATTGGCTTGCATCATCCTTTCTTCTCTTTTCCCATTGCCATGTGTATGTGCGTGGTGTGCACGTGTGTATATGCACGTCTGCATGTGTGGGTGTATATATGTGAACTCACGTGTGTGTGCAGGTGGGGGAATGAGATTGAAGTTGAGCATCAGACTCTGTTGTTCTTCCTCCTGATTCAATGAGACCGGCTCTTTCAGGGAAGCCGTAGCTTGCCAATAGGGCTAGTCTTGCTAGCCAGTTTGCTCTGGATTCCCTTATCTCTGTCTTTCAAGGCTGGAATTACAGCCAAGGAGCCCTGTTTACCAGGCATTTACATGGGTTCCAGGGATCTGAACCCTGGTCCTCATGCTTGCATGGCAAACACCTAACCATGGAGCCATCATCTCCCCAGCCTCTGTATCATACTTTCTTAAGTTATCTCATTTCAAAGCACCTGTGAAATAAAATGTAGGCTGGCCTTTAATATTTGTGGAGAAATGGGTTTCAGACCTCCCTCCATCCAGGGTATCCAAATTGGCCCAAATCAAGTCTTTCTCTCTGTATCTGTCTCTTTCTCTTTTCGAGACAATATTTCTCTTTATAGCTTTGGAGCCTGTACTGGCCTCTGCCTCCTGAGTGCTGGGATTAAAGATATGCGCCACCAATCGCCCAGCTGCAAGTCTCTTACCATAGCATTTACATATGACCTAAGCCTCCTTCCCACATCCTTTTCTTTTTTTCCCCATGCTGGGCATGAAATCCAGAGCCTTGAACACACTACACAGGGACTGGAGTAGTGAGGTCCGTCCCAGCTCTTCCTGTACACCTCATCTCTAGATGACTAGCTTCCAGTCACCCTACGTGCCATGTAAACAGCTACTTCACCGCATTGCTCAGTGACCGAGGGCAAGAGGAACTGTCTTTACACGTTCTGTAGGGGTGTCTTTCCTTTTCTGTGTATGTATGTGTGTACAACATGTGTGTATGTGTGTATTTTTGTTGAATGTACTCATGGGCATACATGTGGAGCCCAGAGGAGGTGGGCAAGTGTTTTGATCTATGACTCTTTCCTATTCCCTTGAGATAAGATCTCTTACTGAACCTGGAGTTAGGGCACTCGACAGCAAGCCTTAACAACCCTCCCGTCTTTGTTTCCCACAGCACTAGGGTTACAGACAGGCATGGCCATGCCCAGCATTTTAGAAATATGAGTGCTAGGATCTGAATCCAGGTACCCTGGCATATGCCACAGGCACTCATACCCGCTGTGAACCATCTTGCCAATCACAAGACGCATTTTTTTAAAAAATGATTTTGGTCTCCAATTGGTTGAATCCCAGGGTGCGGAAGCCATAGGTACGGAGCGGGGGATCAGTTACCACCCATGGGAGCCATGGCCTGGTGCCCGATTTGGAGCACTGTTGCTAGTTCACAAGGCCCTTCAAGGAGGTAAAATCATCTCCATTTTGAACCAGTGTGTCTCTTGCTCAGCACCGCAGCCACGCAGGGGAAGGCTGAGACTTGAGGCTAGCCTGCTATCTTGGGTCTTGCCTCTCCCATGCTGTGGTTGTCACTACCCATCCTGGACACCCAGACCCCGTCCCATCCCGCCAGCTCACCAGGGGTTGTGATCGATTCCATTCAGCCTTCGAGCCTGCAGTTGTTTGGCCATGATGAGCTGCAGAGAGAGAAGGGAAGTCCACTGTGAGAATCTTGTGTGGTGTGGGAGCAACCCCAGATAGTGGCTTTAAGGTTCCAGCCCCACCCTCTGCTTTTCTGGTCTGGGTGGAGCCCCCCAGGCTCAGGAAGCCAGGCTCACTGGAACCTGCTCTCCCAGCCTACTCTTGCTGGCTTCCTGCAGGGCTTCATCACACTTCCATCCTCCCCCACACACTGGGGCGGGGGGGGGGGGGGGGGGGGGGGGGGGGGGCTCTGTGAGGGTGGGGTGCACCAGTGCTGACTCTGCGTGTCCTGAGATGCAGCCGTGATGGCCAGGTTACAAGTGACTCCCAAGGGGCTGAGGAAGAGGAATGTAAGAAGGAGAGAATGGTGGTACCAGCAACAATGGTCCCTCGTATCGGCAAAGGTCACCTAGGCTTGTACATACACTTAGGATGATTGGGCTGGGTTCCCTGAGCAGACGAGAGCTTTCGGTGGGCATAGGGAGTAGTGTGCTCAAGGTCACACAACAAACTGACCGAGACTTCCAACTCTGGTGAGGGTGTTGCTCACTCAGGCCCAGGAGGGAGTGATGCTAGGTCACTCCCACGCTTGAAGGCCACCCATTGTGACCAGTAGAAAATCATGACTGTGGGTCAGGATCTGCTAAGTTCCCACAGCAGCAGCCAGAGGTGACCTGCTCATCTGTGCACAGACATGAAGACATGAGGCACACAGGGGCTCAGAGGAGAAGCTAACGCTATCCTGTCACAGCGGTTGTGGCAATAATCTTGGCACCAGGCCCTGCCCCAGAGAAGCCTCAGGCCATGTGTGGTGTGTAAGGTTTCCCAGCAGCCTGAGCCTCGTGGGGATGGGAACGAGTTGGGGCCTGGCACATGGCATCACGGCAGCCCTGTGCCCTGCCCTCCACTGACTCCTGAACGGTGTCACTGGGGCTGGTGCTCACAGTGTCAAGCACGGAGCTGACAAGAGCGTGTTCCTAAGGAGACGACCTCAGCACAATCAAATGTCAGGGCTGATTTTCTTTATGTTGGTTAGCAGACATTTGAATTTTTCTTCTTTGTAATTATTGCTTTTCAATTTATTTATTTAATTTATTTGAGACAAGTTCTCACTATGTAGCCCAGGCTAGTCTGTAGACAGGGCTAGCCTTGAACTCAGAGGCCCACCTGCCTCTGCCTCCCAGATTTTTCAATTTTTTTGTTTGTTTTTCGAGACAGGGTTTCCCTGTGTAGTCCTGCCTCTCCTGGAACTCACTCTGGATGGACCAGGCTGGCCTTGAACTCACAGAGATCTGCCTGCTTCTGCTGGGATTGAAGGTGTGCACCACCACAGTCTGGCATATTTTTTCAAATTTTATAAAACAAATTTTCTTTGACTTTTTTTTTTTTTTTTGAGACAGGATTCTTACTTGATAGTCCAGGCTGACTCAGACTTGAGAGCCTCACTCTCCCAAGTACTGGGATTATAGGTATGGACCATCATGTTTGGCTATATATTTTATTGTTCTTGTTGCTACTGTGTTCTGAGACAGGGTCTCACTTTGTAGTTCTGGCTGGCCTGGAATTTGTAAAGAAGTTCATGCTGGCCTTGAACTCACAGCAATCCTCTAGCCTCAGCCTCCCAAGAGCTGGAATCACAGATGTGAACCACTATGTCCAGCTAAATATTTTATTTTTACAATTGGAAAATGTAGGAGACAGCCATAATTTAGAAGAATGTTAGTGATACAATATACCAATTCCAAAACCCCGAGGGCAGGAAGCCCTGGGTGTGTTCCCCAACACTGCAAAACCAAGAGTGGTGGCTGGGACCTGTCATCCCAGTTCGTCAGCGGGGGAAGTAGTGAGTTTGAGGCCAGCCCGTGCCACAGGACACCATGTCTTTAAAAATAATAAAAAACTAAGAATCCCCTAATATGCATGCATCTGTGAACGCATGTTCGGTTCTGCCATAACACGTGGGTAGGGATGAAGCTGCGGGAAGGGAGTCGCCGAGGGGCTCACAGAGCCTTTCTCATGGGGACTCTGGCTCTGCCCCCAGCTCACTCTTTTTGCTTTTCTACTTCCCAGTTTATATCTGGTTTTCTATTTCATACAGAGATCACATTATTTGATTGACTGAGGTTTAGATTTTTTTTTGTTGTTGTTCTGTTTGTTTTTTTTTTTTTTTTTTTTTTTTTTTTTTGAGACAGGGTTTTTCTACGTAACAGCCCTAGCTGTCCTGGAACTAGCTCTTGTAGACCAGGCAGGCCTTGAACTCACAGAGATCTACCTGCCTCTGCCTCCTGAGTGCTGGGACTAAAGGTGTGCGCCACCATACCTGGCTTAGTATTTTTTAAAATTATGGTTTATTTTGTGTGTGTGGGGGCACACATGTTACAGCATGTGTGCGGAGGTCAGAGTACAACCTGTGGGAGTCAATTCTTAGTTCCTACGACGTGAGCCCCAGGCATCAAAGTCCAGTCATCAGGATTGGTGGCAGGTACCTTCAGCTGATGTGCCGTCTCTCAGGCCTTGACTGTCTTATTTCGGGCTCTTTTGTTTGTTTTTGATTGATTCTAACAAGTGCATCCTTCACAGTGCATTCTTCACATCGAGTCTGTCTATAACTTAAAAGTTCTGATTTATTGGCGTTTTCCCAAACCATATATAGGAGCAGAACTTCTCCCTGTTGACAACGGCATAAAGCCACACACATGTATGGACTAGGATGCAGCAGAGAGCGAGAGAACATGGGTGATGTGAAGGACTGAGGAGGCCTGATAGTGCGGGTGTTAGGGGACAGAGGCTGGCCTGAGGGAAGCTAGGCTGGGGTGGGGAGGTATGGAAGATGCAGGGGACAAGGGCACAAACTTACAGATGAACAGAAATGAGTGGAGTTGAATGGGTTTGAGAAGATGAAAAAATTAATTGGAATTCCACAAACTTGGGGACTCAAGAGGGTGTCTTTGCGAATGGCCGTAGGTACTGAGATCGGAGAGCAGTGCTGTTCTCAAGCTCTGCACAACACAGTCAGCCAACCAAGATGTGCTGTGTGCCTACTGTGTGCTATCAGCTAGGCTGGGCGCTGGGATAATGGAGGGCAGGCAGCAGCTGACAAACCGAGTGTCCATGCAAAGCTGAGCCCCAGATGAGAGAAGCAGGCCCAGGGGTGGTGACAGGACAGCTCGGCTCCTGGAAGAGCAGGCGCATGCACAGCTTTATAGGCAGGACCAGGGGAGATGACAGGACAGCTCGCCCGGGAAGCCTCCTGAAAGAGCAGGCGCATGCGCGGCTTTACAGGCAGGAACCAAGCCAGTTCCCCAGGACCCCCAGCCAGGAACGTGGTGGAGAGCTATGCAGGGCACTTACAGTCTGGTGCAAACACCGGGTGAGGGTGAGCGAGGCTCCGGCCTTCCTTTCCCAGAGCGGCCACACCAGGGGCGCTGAGATGGCTGCTGCGCTCCTGAGCATGCCTCCCAGGTCCACAGGCACTGCAGACTTCCCCTCCAGGGTAGAGGAGAAGGGCAGACAGCCTAGGCCCGAAAACGGCTCCAAGCCAGGGACTTGTGTCCCACACACAGGTCTAACAACAACAATAAAGTGTCACTGTGCACCAGGCTGCTGCCAGGTGCTTTACTGCCTGGTTCTTCCCCTTAGTCACATCTATCCCACTCAGTGGCCCTTTAAAATTCCCATCACCTCCAGGGGCAAAATGACCCAGGTGAAGGTCACCGACAGGAGACAACACAGAGACCAGCAACCCAGACTCCCGTTCATTCCAATTCAAGAAACACATGTATGTGCACACACACACACACACACAAAGCATTCCTGCTACCACAATAAACCTAGCCTGGAACCTCACCCCCAATTGGATTGCCACACATACGACTGAAGAACCTGGTGAATGACACCACAGAGTTACAGCTCACAAACCCAAACTGACAGGAGCTACACAGCCAGCAACTCCATGTCTTCCACAAATCAAATGTAAAGAAAAAGAAAGGCTGGGGGGTAGCTATGTGGTGGTGCATACTCCCAGCACTTGAGAGGAGAGGCAGGAGGATGACCACCACCAAGTTCTAGGCCAGCTTGAGCCATAGAATAAAATCTGTCACTGGGCAGTGGTGGGTGGTGATGGCGCACGCCTTTAATCCCAGCACTTGGGAAGCAGAGGCAGGCGGATCTCTGCGAGTTTGAGGCCAGCCTGGTCTACAGAGTGAGTTCCAGGACAGCCAGAGATACACAGAGAAACCCTGCCTCTAAAAACCAAACCAACCAAGCAAACAAATAATTGTAAAAAAATAAATAAATAAATAAAAATCCTAAAGCCAAAAATCCACCAGCAAACATAAAGCATAACAGACAACTCTGGGAAGGTTGGATGCATCACTCCACACCATTTCAAAGCTCACTACAGAGCGGAGCTGAAGGACCAAATTCTAAAATAATAAGAATAGTAATAATAAAGCGAGAGGGGACTGCTGAAGAATAGGCATGCAGAACGTTGCATCAGAACAATTCCCAAATCAACTCTCATGTTTATGGGTGATCGTTCCTAGAGAGGCCAAGACCATTCAATGGGCAAACACAGTCTTCAACTAGATCAGCTGGACATAAACACTGGCCTGAAATGACACCCAAGCTCACCCTCAGGCAAAAGGTGTTTACGCAGTCTGTTGATGATGCAACAGCAGCAGAGGAGGGCCCAGGAGGAACTGGACTGTGTTCTGAGCACTGGAGAAAAGGGCAGGGTTTTATTTTATTTTATTTTTTTTAATTTTATTTATTTATTTATTTTACTTTATTTATTTATTTATTTATTTTTGGTTTTTTGAGACAGGGTTTCTCTGTGGCTTTGGAACCTGTCCTGGAACTAGTTCTTGTAGGCCAGGCTGGTCTCGAACTCACAGAGATCTGCCTGCCTCTGCCTGCCGAGTGCTGGGATTAAAGGTGTGCGCCACCACCGCCCGGCAGGGTTTTAAAAGACAAAAAAAAAAAAAGAAGAAAAAAAAAAGCCAGGGGGGCTGGAGAGATGGCTCAGAGGTTAAGAGCATTTCCTGCTCTTCCAAAGTCCTGAGTTCAATTCCCAGCAACCACATGGTGGCTCACAACCATCTGTAATGAGGTCTGGTGCCCTCTTCTGGCCTTCAGGCATACACACAGACAGAATATTGTATACATAATAAATAAATAAATATTTTAAAAAAAAAAGCCAGATGGTGGTGGTACACTCCTTTAATCCCGGAACTCAGAGGCAGAGGCAGGCAGATATCTGTGAGTTCCAGGCCAGCCAGGACTACACAGAGAAACCCTGTCTCAAAACACAAAAACAAAACAAAACTGAACCAGGTGGGCTGGCATATACACATAACCCCAGCACATGGGTAAGTAAAGGCAGAGGGATTGCTACAAATTTGAATCCACCTTGTCTACATAGCAAGTTTCAGGCCAGCCAGTACTATAGCAAAGTATGATCCTGTTGCACACACACAAACACACACACGCACGCATGCACACGCACACACTGGCACACACACCGTCACACTACAAAGTGTTTTGCATAGTTCTGACTGGAGAACTGAGGCTGTAGCCCTAGACCTGCTGTGGACCGTGAGGCTGTTGCAGGGCTGCTGTAGGGCGAGGCCTGAGAATCTGTCGTTTCTGGGGTTTGGCTCAGGTGGAGAATATTTAATGAAGACCATGCAGGGCTTTTTTCCCTCAAAAGCTCCCAGGGTCCATGTGAGGATGCTGAACCAAAGAATTACCATTTCTGAGATCTCTCTTAGAATAGCTACACAGAAAAGAATGAATCTGGAGTGGCCGTGGCATTGCAAGCCTGTGATCCCGCCACCGGGGAGACGAAGATGAGAAGACTGAAAGCCTGATGCCAGCCTCGACTGTCAGCTTGGACTGCGAGGTGAGACCCAGCCTCAAAGTTAAAAACAAACAAACCAAACCTTACTTTACAATATATCAAAATGAACTCAGCAACTCATAGGAGCAATGTATGAGCTAAAGCAGCAAAAATCTGAACCAGGAAGATTGCAAATGTATTTATGTTTTATGTGTATGAGTATTTTGTCTACATATAAGCCTGTGCACCACATGCATGCCGTGCCCAAGGAGGCCAGAAGAGGGCGTCAGATCCCCATCTTCTGTAACTGGAATTATAGATAGATGGTTCTTAGCTCCCAGCTAAGTGCTGGGAACATAACCCCAATGCAAGTTTAGACAGTTCTCCTAACCACTGAGCCATCTCTCCTTCCCTGATTGCAAATTTGAAGTTGGTTTAGGCTATATAGTGAGATCCTGCAGAACACAGCTGGGAACGATACCAGTCTGGAATACCCGTATTCAAGGTGCAGAGACAAGAGGCCAGAGGGGCGTACACACTAACTTCTACGCCAGCCTTGGCTATACAATAAGACATCGTGTCTGCATTTACTAGGCCTGTAGTGTGTCCCCGCTTGATGCTGACATTTTGGGCCACTGTTTGGGTACAACAGGAGGAACACAACTGGCTATGGAGTCAGGCGAGGCACCTTCTCTTCCTAAGTGCTCACCCAAATCAGAGCCCACGCGACCACACACTTCATTAGAGTCTCTGTGAGACCACCTGTCCTGGCCCACGTCCTGCCACCGTCCCTCAGGTACACCTGTCCTCACGCGCATCTGCTAGCTCCTCCCGAGTGAGATTTGTCCTTCTCTAGCGGCACCAGACACCCAAAGGTTCATGATAAAGATTTCAGAATATATATATATATATATATATATATATATATATATTTCTTCTCTTTCCTTCCCTCTTCCCTTTCTCTTTTCTGCTACCTCCACCTTTTTGTATTGAACAGGGTCTTACTACTGCAGCCCAGGCTGGCCTCATACTCGTGATCTCTGAATGCTGGGATCACAGGCATGGACCGCCACACCCAGCTAAGCAATTCACGTTTATGACTTCCAGACATAGATTTACTTGTGACCTGGCAATTCCACTCCTATAGCAAACTCTAAAGAACTGAAAACTGACATCCAAGCAAAGATCTATCAAGAGCCTTTCTTTTCTTTTCTTTTTTTAAAAATATTTATTTATTTTTGGTTTTTCGAGACAGCGTTTCTCTGTGGTTTTGGAGCCTGTCCTGGAACTAGCTCTTGTAGACCAGGCTGGTCTCGAACTCACAGAGATCTACCTCCTGAGTGCTGGGATTAAAGGTGTGAACCATCACTGCCTGGAAATACATCTTTTTAGAGACATGTAGTAAATAAACCTCAAGGGCTGGAGAGATGGCTCAGAGGTTAAGAACACTGATTGTTCTTCCAGAGGACATGAGTTCAATTCCCGGCAACCACATGGTGGCTCACAACCATCTGTAAAGAAATCTGGTGCCCTCTTCTGGCCTGTAGGCACTCATGCAGACAGAATGGTGTAAACAAAATAAATAAATTAATTAAATAAATAAATCTTAAAAAAAAAAGAAAAGAAACCTCAAATATTCATCAATGGCTGAGTAAACTACAGTACAGCCACATAGTGAGAGCTACTACTATTGCTCTAATTGTATGAACCTATGCTGTGCTGAGTTATTGTGGATGTTTGTTTACACTGGGAAGATGTCTTTGCCAAGGCACCTTCTGATTGGTTTAATAAAGAGCTGAATGTCCAATAGCTAGGTAGGAAGAGGTTAGGCAGGACTTCTGGGGACAGAGAAGACTTTGGGAAGAAGAAAGGCAGAGGAAGCAGCATGGGCAGTATGGAAAGAAAGGTAAAAAGCCATATGGTAAAAATGTAGATTTAAAAAAGTATGTTAATTTAAGTTATAAGAGCTAGTGGGACGCTGGGCAGTGGTGGCGCACGCCTTTAATCCCAGCTCTTGGGAGGCAGAGGCAGGCGGATCTCTGTGAGTTCGAGGCCAGCCTGGTCTACAAGAGCTAGTCCAGGACAGGCTCCAAAGCTACAGAGAAACCCTGTCCCGAAAAACAAAAACAAAGAAACAAACAAACAAGAGCTAGTGGGACAAGCCTAAGCTGAGCTCCGTGTCGTTATCTGTAAACTCATGACCCAGAGAAAAATCCGATTATACTGAGTGAAAGATAACAGTCACACAAGGCCACACACTGCCTGATCCCTTTCATATGATGAATCTAGAACCCAACCAATGCAGAGGTGGCTGCTCACCAGATGTGGACAGGGGGACAGGAAGTGATTACATGGTTCAGTGTAGGGCCCTTGACTGGCATGTTGCAGGCCCTTCTCTGGGACCTCTCCATCCTGGGAACAGCTTTCTCTCTGCTGTTAGTCATGTCCATTTGGGAAGCTTCCCTCACTGCAGCCGGAAGTTTTCAATAGAGACAGCTACAGTGCTCCTGTAGCGTCAGCTCCTCTTCCTTCCTTCATCCACCTGGTCCCATGCAAATGTGACTACCACATCCTGGGCCCTCGCTTGTCCGTACTTGTGTCTCTGCTGGCTAACGCTCTTCCGATAACCCACTGCGTGAGACACTACGTGGGTTAGCTGGTTTCCTCACTGGGTGACAGCACGCTTCGCTGGCTGTCCCTGAGTGAATACAGCGACTAATCGGCAC